TGGCAAAATGTGAAAGGAGCTATGCTAGCGGCGTTCAGTTGTGCCCGCCCGACTTCTCCAATTCGATCACAGGACCACTGGATGTCATCGAGGTCGTTATCCGTGATTGATGCCAGGAAAGCCATACCAGCAGGCAACGAGTACGACGGCGCACACAAATTTCTCGAACGCCAAATAGTGAAGAGTCTAAGGAAAGACCGAGAGCTCTGGTGGACATCGAAAGCTTGGGAGATGGAGAAGGTTTTTGCCACGGGAAACATCCGTGCACTTTATCAACTGATACGATCGACTGGCCCTAGGAAAGCAACGGTCAGCGAAACGATAAGTGAAACAGATGGCTCATTAAATCACTCGCAAAAACGTCGACTGGCGAGATGGACAGAACACTTCGAAGAGCAGTTTAGCTGGCCTCCTGCAACACAGCCGGTGGGGATAATGCATACGGGCGAATGGAATGTAAACCTTGATCGCCCTTCGGAAGACGAAATAAGGTATGAAATAGCCGTACTGAAACGTGAGAAGGCACCAGGACCGGACGGTCTGTATCTAGCCCTCTTCAAAGAAGGCGGAAAATCCCTGGTGACCCACCTGACAAAGCTTTTTGGTGCTATATGGGACGAAGAGAAAGTGCCTGCAGAATGGGGCATGTCGACAGTTATCCATATCTTCAGAAAGGGTACGCGGACGCCGTGTGAAAACCACGGTGGCATCAGCCTGTTAGCTGTGGCATCGAAGGCGCTCTCTGGCCTTATTCTTCGAAGGTTGACTGAACACAGAGAGAGGCAGATCCGTGAAAACCAAGCTGGGTTCCGTACTGCAAGAAATTGCGTCGATCATATCTTCACCCTCCGAGAGATTCTGGAACAGCGACACTGCTTCCAGCAACCAACAATGGTTGTTTTTCTTGATCTGAAAGCTGCCTTTGACACTGTGGACCGCCAAGCACTATGTCAGTGTCTGTGGAGCAAAGGTGTCCCCCATAAATTATTGACCCTCATTAAGTCGCTGTACGCCAACTCTCGTAGCCATGTAAAGGTCTACGAGAAGCTCTCTCCTGAGTTCACTGCATCCAGTGGTGTCCGACAGGGCTGTCCTCTTTCACCTTTCCTCTTCAACTTCGTCATTGACACGATCATGGAAGACTCACTACCAGCCTCTAATGCCTGTGGGGTCGAAGTGCTCCCTGGGTCTCCGCTCACAGATATCGAGTACGCGGACTACATAGCTCTTCTGGGATCTGATCCCGTGGTAATGCAAACAATATTAAATAATCTAAATAATTCTGCCTCGCGGTTCGGCATCCGCTTTGACGACCGATGTCTTCGGAGCATTGCCCGAATCTGGTGGGAACACCGGATCAGCAATTCTGAAGTACGTCGGATGGTATTTGGGAGAAATAACCCACCCTCGATAGATGAACTGATCATGCTGCATAGGTTCCGCTTGTTTGGCCACGTGTTGCGTATGCCAGTCGATCGACTTCCTCGAAGGGCTCTTTTCGCACAACCACGTGACGGGTGGAAACGAGCCAGAGGCGATCAAACAATGACTTGACAGCGAAGTATGAAAGCGATTACCAGCAAGCTCAGATGCGCTGGTCACTGCCGTCTTCCTGGATGGGGACCCCGAGACGGGCCACATCAATGGCTAGAGAAATTGTCAGACATGGCCCAGTCGCGCCCTCAATGGCGCTCGTGCATCAAAGCTATTGCCTTCACTGCATAGCTCCTTTTCCAATCCCATTCCCCCCACTTGACAGCCCACTGACAGTGCTGGATTTATGCACCAATTTATCAGCTCCCTCCTGCAACGCGCAGCTACCTACCCTTCCCCCAAACCATCGGTGAACGAAACTGCGGCAGCTACAACCACTGTACGACGAGTACACGGTTATTACAGCTGACAATGATGATGATGATTACCATTGTGGGAACACGTTCGCTTCTTCAGATGCAATGATTCCTTCGCGTCCAGCGCGTGTCGGTGGAGGAGTCTAAACATGGTCGCCTCGTATGTCAGGTGTCCGGGGTTCAAACCTCAACAAGGCCAAGGATATGCGCTACTGGTGAGCTCTAATGAAAACAAGACTTGAGTCCTGCTTTGATGTGAGCTCACCAGAATAGCTGTGATGGGGAAGAGGAAGTATTGTTCGAATAAGTGCGAATCCCAAAAATCCTACAACTACCTACAGCTAATCTACAGAAGGTGATCCCTCTCAGAACCATGTCTACTCTGCCAACTATGCGCCTTTTCGTCGATCTGTGATGAAACTGGACTTGAAAGCAGTACGACGGGGTTTTGTGACGATTCTTCCCTCGCGTTATTTTATTTATTGGCGTTACATCATTTCCTTTTTCTTTTCAGACCATGTCCTTTAAATCCAAGCACCACATAGAAGTGAGCTCTGTCGCACTGGTGGATTTGAAAGCCGAAATTTCGCGAAGACAGATTGAAGTCAAACAGAATGCTCAAAAGCTCCCTGAAGGTTGTAGCGTGCTCAAAACCAGTTCAATCGGTACTTCTGCGGGGAAGCAAACAATATGGCGAAAACGGAAGGAAGCCCCAAGTCTAGTTAACACTGGTGCTTCAACTGTATCGTCTGACAATCCGGAAGACACAGCGGAGTTGGAGCGCAGTAGGCGGGCTCTAGAAGCAAAAGCTAAGTTGTATGAAGCTCTTAAACAGGCAGCTCGTTCCGGAACAATGAGCTATTCGAAAAAACGACTCAGCTCTGAAGATGAAGATTTGCTAGTTGACTTCGAGCAGAAGGTGATTGAGGAATCTCGAATTTGTCGATCTCCGTCTCCTGCCCGTTCCGTAGGTAGCAACAGCTCGGAAGAACCAGACGAATGTGACACTGCATATCGAGCCACGAATAGCGATGAAGAATGGGTTGAATACACGGATGATCGAGGGATAAAGCGGATGTGTATGCGAAAAGACCAGGAACCGCCGTTGCGTCCAGATGGACCGCTGACCTATGCGCATTTGCGTGAGGGGGAGATTCGTGAGCATGGTGTTGGGTTCTATGCCTTCTCGAAGGATGCTGAGCAACGGGAAGCGGAAATAGCACGTCTACGTGAGCTCCATCGGGCGACAGAGGAGGGACGTGCACGCGCTGAGGCTATTCGAGCTAAAAGAGATGCCCGAATGGGTCAAAGGCTAGCACGTTTAAGAGCACGGAAGGGTTTGCCGGATGTTGCGACTGCTGCCGCTCAGTGTCTTGCCGAAGTTAGCGCTCCACCTACACCGTTACCTTTAAGTTCGGATGCTCAGTCTGATATACGCCTTAGCAGTGAAGATCTTGACGTTGCATCCATGCTTCGACGACTGCGTGATGAAGCGGAGCGTCGTGCTTCCCTTAATAATCCTGTTGTCCCCGAGCCAGTTCAAGACACTCCGGCAAACAAAGAACATCCGACAAACTTGGCCGACATTGTGGCTGCAAGAAGCAGTCACGTGGCTGGATCACGGGAATGGGATCGTGGGAAGTCCATGATTTCAGCACAACGATATATCCAAGAAGAACGTGTAAAACGACTTCCAGAATTCGCCCCACCGTCTTTCTATTAACTCTGCTTCAGACGTTGTATCATATTCCTGCATATAAATTTTCGTTTTGCTTTATTTGAGATTTTTATTGTCAGTTCATTGTGAATTCTTCCGTTCATGTTTGAGAAACTCCTTGGAAGCGTAGCTATGACTGGGAATCTGGGACTTTCCTTGGGGTATTTCTTATGTCTCAAACCTCACAGTGATACGATCTGAAGTTTGGCGCTCTATTCAGTTGGTGGTCACAGCATTCTTATGAAGATCAAAACAACTGTGTTGCAGTTTTAATGAAAAAGCGCATGTTCCCTGGGTTCTCCTCGTTTCCTAAGTTCAAGACAGGGTTTATCCGTAGAAGCATCGGCATGCACAAATGACAGGGAAATGGCTCGTATCTGTTCTTTTCCGATACAGTGTGTGCACTGTATTCCGAAGTGAGGGTTGTTGGCTGTTTTGGAGACATTTGTGTGATCGATCGGTGTGATTAAAGGCCAGCTGGCAGGACCACTTCGTGCTTGAAGCACGAAGTGCTACCTTCTCTTTTGGTTAAGCCACCAGATATGTCCCTCGCTTCTGCTCCAGTAGCTTTGTCAGCGGCCATGTAATTCCTCAAACAGAGGATCCACTTAACTACCCACTGTTTTTTTATCTGATATCCGTCACCATGAATTTCGACTCAATTACGGTATTCAAACCGTGTCGAACGTTTCAAAAACTTCCTTCAATGGAAGCGGAGAAGTCACAAATGCAGTTAATCACAATCTTTAAGCCCCAATATCCATGAGCTCCAAATATTGCACCAGTGGAGAGTGGAGCCTTAAATACTCTGAAGCAGGTGAACAATACAGCAACTTGAAGAATAATGAATAAAGGTAGGGTCACTGTTGTACTAAGAGTGGCTGTATACAGAAGATCAGGCCACATCTGGCTGAAGAAGCTTATCGGCAAATGAAGTAGGAAAATCACGTTTACATTGAATGAAAGTAAAGTTGAAGTTGGTGGGTATTGGTGATCCGTGCTGAGCTACTTAGAGCAAAGTAAGTGGTATCTGGTGTACCCTAAAAGTTCAATCCAACCACGGCTTCGTGGCCTACCAAAAATTCACAAAACAGATGTTCCCGTGAGACCGATAGTAGACGGGATAAATTCCTCCCCCATGCGTTCGTAGGTGTTCCAAAACTCAGCGAAGATCGAGAATTCGTGCGACTGTACCAACAAAGTAGTGGGTCTCTTGTAAAACCAGGCGTCATTCTTATGAGTTTCGGTGTGAGCTCGTTAAACACAAATGTTCCGAAAGTCTAGCAGTTACCATTAGCAGATACTACACTTTCAGAATGGACATATTACGCTAGATAAAGTTGTGGAGAGCACAAACGCATACTTGAGTCTCACTTCTGACTTTGTGGTTTACACCAGGGGTTTCTAATATCCCCGGTTCTGACTAACATTTATGGACAGTTTCGAACAGAAAGTCCCAGTCTGACTGGATGTTGGTCCATTCGCCGAGCTTGGTAGTTAGATTGCAAACGTTTCACCTTCAGTCGAGTTGACGTCGTCAGTGACAGGCTTGAGGGGGTAAATTTTTCCCTTTCTGCATGTGCTCATGTAGTTTCTGACCTCTGCCTCTCGACTTCCCCTGTCTAGGCTTGGGCAGCATTCCAGTCTTCATGCCTCCTTCGTGTGGCATGGCACCGTAAGGGTGCTATAACTGAATGAATGATGATGATGATGAGTTTCTGAAACAGCATCTGAAAGCCCTAACGCGATTGTTCGGTCCCGAGGTGGTCTTCTCGTCTTAGCCGGATTCCCGTACCCATCGGAAATGTTTCGGCGTCATGTAAAGAACACTTATCGTGGATAAATGAGACAAGCTCAGTTACCTGAATAAACTGAATCACCCCCCACAGCACATTGTCTTAAACTGTATGATACATGCGGTTGGTAGGAAGTTAAAAACAACAGGGCACCTTAAACTAGCCGACACTCGTGATTTTGAACTATTTTTTCACCAGTGGTTGAAGTTCGAACGTACTGACCAAAAGGTCCGTAGTGCGACATGGATCAGTGGTTAGAGCACCAATTTACTGGCCGGAAGGTCCGTGGTTCGAACCCGACCTCTACCTCTCGACTTCCCCTGTCTAGGCTTTGGCAACCTGGCAGTATCCCAACCCTCGTGGTCCCCTCTAGCGACATGGCTGTTGAGTACCGAAAGGGTGCTACAGCTGAACGGTTTTTTTCTCTAAATCTCGACTACTCCTGTCTAAACACGGACAGCCTGGTATTATCCCAGCCTTCCGGTAGCATGACAGCTATGCTCTGAAAGGTTGTTACTACTGAACGACTGTAATTATTACTAAATTTGTATTCGTTAGTATTGCCCCACCAATGTCTCTCCGAGTAAGAGCCTTGTGTCCAGAAGTAGTTGACTGGACAATGGCCCAAACCGAAGTAAACAACATACTTCGAGGTGGTGGAGGTCACCAACCATCCCAGTTGGAAGAGATTATAAGATGTATAGCTGGCGTGTGTATGCAGTACGGCCTTGGGTCAGTCAAGCTGACACGTGGTGGTGTGGATTTATCGACAAATAGGAGTCGTCAGCAAGAATGGACTACGGCCTTGGATCAGTCAAGCAGACACGTGATGGTGTGGATTTATCGACAAATAGGAGTCGTCAGCAAGAATGGACTAGACCCGAAGTGCATAGTCAAAACCAACCAAAATTCCAAGTATTCTCACCTCCACCGCGACCAAATTGTCGCAGAACTTGGAAACTCACACAACCAACGAAATTTACCGGTGACATTCAAGAGGCACCATCAAATAAAGCGCAATAAGTCGAAAAATCAGTTATCTAGACCCGAATAAAATGATTAGTAATCCCCCTATGGGCCGTATGTCTTGGACACCCACATTAACTGACACTCCCCAGTGGTCTGATGTGCTAATCGGAAGAAATCTTGCTGGTTAGTTCTTTGGCGGTCCTAAAATTCGGCCAACCTGTAAACGTACTCATTTGATCTGACGAACTATTTCTGTAAATAGTAGAATTTAATTGTTTCCTCTACACCAAACTAACGTGCTCCGCTCCATGTCGCGACGGTTCACATCTTCACTATCTTTCTTGTCAATCAATAAGCGTTGTTTAGGCTCTGTCTGGGTCAGAAACCCTAATTAGTCTACCGGTTGAATAGAGTGCCTTCTTCCCCGATGACGAGACACTCGTGAGGAAGTTTCTACGGTACTTCGTTTTCCGATGCAAGGTCCTCTCGAGTGAACGTATGTGCTACAACCGAGGCGTATATAGTTTTGTTTTTCAACCGGTCTGTTCAGTCCCTGATTGGAAACTTCTCTCGCTGTTTCAGTTACAGGTGTTAGAGCGTGAATTTGCTGACCGACCTCTACATCTCGGTTGCTCTTTTCTAGGCATGAGAAACTTGGTAGTATTTCAGCCCTCGTGGTTCATTTGGATGGCATAGAAGCTAGATACCTGTAGGGTGTTAAAACTGAACCATCGGTTTCACTGGCCAAACCAAACAGTTGATGCTATAAGCTCTACTGCCGGACTAGCCGATTAATTGGGTGTGGAATGCTCGCACAACATTGTTCATCGGGATACACAACAAGCGGGTGGGTAAGAAAGTCGGCACGTGGGATGGATTGTCCTCTATTTACTTTCGACCCTTCTCCGTTGCTCAACCATTTGATATACCACCAGGGGGTGCCCACCGACTGCGTAGATGATCTTGCTGTCTTAGACTGGATCCCAGTCAAATTTAAATCGCTTCAGATGGTTTAGATGACTTTGGTGGTATTCGGATGTACATTTTTAACTTGAAATGCAGAATAATCGAGAATTGCTTAGATTCCGATAGTTTGAATACCGCCCAGCTGGTTAATGTAGATATTTTCCAGCTGTAACACTTTTCCGGTACATCCGAAGGAAGCACCAGAGTTGAGAAGCTGCCAAGTTTCTCAAGCCTAGACAAGAGCCGTCGTGGAGCAGAAGTTGCGCTCGAATCATGGACCTTCTGGTCGGTAAATTCGTGTCCTGAGTCGTCTAGAGCCCAGCCATATTCCAGTTCGAAATCGTTCAGCTGTAGCACCCTTTCGGTGCCTAACTATCATACCACCCTAAGATTGCACAAGGGCTGGGATACTGCCAGGTTGCCCAAGCCTAGACAGAGGAAGTCGAGAGGCAGAGGTCGGGTTCGAACCACGAACCTTCCGGTCAGTAAATTCGCGCTCTAACCACTTGGGCGATCTCGCCCCCACTGTACCACTTGCGCACATGCTCTCTGTTCCGCATAGCTATTCACAGTTTCAACAATGCTTTTCATTTCATTTCATCTCCTACAAGATGGAGCCGCTCAGTACGACTACATCAACGGACTCGATGTACCAGTTGCGCTTGGTTACTATGGCGCCGGCAAGTAACACCGGAACGGCAACTTGCAGCTTCCAACAGCGTCAATCCAGTGTATTCGATGCGCTAGCCGACTTGGAGGCTGCACACAATCGAGTCACTGAAGCTACTAAAGAAGAGCGTCTAGAGCTTAGCAAAACAACCTGGCGCCACGTAGTGACCGCACCTGAGGACCTTGTGGCCGAGAAAGAACGCGTGAGACTATATTGTTAACCTTGTTGGAAACGACTCCATGATGATATTATGTATGATAATTTGTTCGGATTGATTATTTCCTCCGTCCATTTCGTTTTTTTCTCAACGACACTTTAAGAAAGCCTTGCCTAGCTGTAACACTGTGCTGATGGACCAACGAGTCATAAGAATATGTTTAAGCAAGGAGATTCCCACTCAAGGTGAACACTCATTGTCATCATCATCGACAGCATGACATCATTGGTCAACGCCGATGCTTCACTGCCGTACAACCACTATTTATTTGAAAGCCTTATTAAAAAAGGACGCACGAGAGCTGGGACGCTCCCAGGTTGCCCAAGCCTAGACAGGGGGAAGTTGAGAGGCAGAGGTCGGGTTCAAACGACGGACCCTCCGTCAGTATATTCGCGCTCTAACCACTTGGTCCATCTCGCCCCAGACATTCACTCAGGCAATCTGGATAGAAACTGACAACAAGAACGCCACTGACATCGGTTGGTAGCTATATCTTGTAGTGTCTCCAACCAGGCGCAGTGAGGGTCACGCGATCCCCTTCCTGGAAGGCGAGTAGCACCTACGGCACCCAAGCGTTTCGTGACCTCCATACTCGTCTGCCAAGTCAAGGGTTGGCTACCCCTCTGCTTACACCACTCTGAATTGGGCATGGAAAACAACACTCTCTTCGGCAAACGATGGTTCGCATTAGTAACACATGTCCCAACCAACGCAGCTTCTGGTGCTGGGCACATTCTTCGATGGAAGTACCCGTTGCACAACCGAAAACGCGCTTTCCAACTGCCCCGTTACGGATTCGCTGACACTGACCCACACGAGCTATGGTTCTGAGACAACGGTTATCGAGCACCTAAGACGTCTCAGTTCCGCTGCTCGAATAGGCCAAGTCTCACAGCCATACAACGAAAAACAACCCGTACTGTAGCTTGATACACACTGCAGAGAAGGGACACCAGCAACGGTGCGTTCCGTCTGACCTGCATTGTCCCAGCTGTCCATATGTTACGACTGGAACGAGTGTTGCAACTTGCGTCTACAGTTGTTGAACCCCTCTGGTCGCCCTACATAGACTACCAATGCAGTGTATCAGCATTGAAGGCTTTTGGTTGAGAACCTCAGTAGTCTCACTTTGGGGTGTGAAACCTCATTTGCTATTGTTAGTCAAAGGCGAGTATTACTGCTGACGTTGATGATGATAATACGTACCAAGGAGTTTAGAGCAAATACATTCATTTCCTGTAGGAAACTAATCACAAGGTTTTTTCCATAAAGGAAACTACTCACAAGATGGCTGAAAACTCTTCGACAGCCCACGACCGGTTTCGCCCTTCCAGTTCGGGCTCATCAGGTAGGTGCAGTTTTCTGTCGACCTGATGTTCTATTCTACTTGAAATTGTACTGTCACTCACATGGTTGCTGGAAACAGCTCATGACCAGGTTTCGCCCACCGAAAGCCTCAAATTGGGATATAATCCACTGACATTTTTCCGATAACCGCACACTTTTGTTGCAATGATAATTCAAACTACCATGCCCGCTTATTCGCCCATCAAATGTGCGAAACTGATCGCCCTTCGCGTGTGTTGAATCCTTGTGGAAATTGTTTCTGCATTTTATTTGTCTGTTTCCACAGAAGCGCTCGTTTTTATCATTCGTGCCTACTGAAGAGCGACTGTAACCTCAGTTTTGTTCCCTCAGTACTTTTCACAGTGGCTGAGCGATACAAAGCCGTTCGACAACGAATCATTTGGTATTTGACATCATCCCTCTATAAACCGTACTGTTTCTTTACAAGCTGGTTTCTTTGTCCGTGAAGCAGTGAAGCAGTCTCCCCCAGAGGACATTTACTCAGTGTGTTTGACTTGTTCAGGTTCCATGAGAGAAACTACTCATAAGGTTGCCGGAAACTCCTCGGCAGCCCGTGACCGATTTCCCCCTTCGTGGGGCTTATCAGCTGGACGCAGTCCCAGAATTTCCGTCATTGCTGTGTTCTACTTGAACCCAACTACGCTTCCCAATAACGCACTGATGATGTCACCTTGATTGGTGATGAAACGTTTGCAATCAAATTGCCCAGCTCAGCGAACAAGCCAACGACCATTGTTCAACTGAATATGCTTCACAAAGTCCGCTTAAGCCGAAATAAACGTCACCTAATAAATTCACTTATTTCGGGTACTAAAATGCTGTGCCACAGAAGATAAATGCCGATAGACGATGTCGTTCCCGTCATTCTTTCCATTCCATGTTTACCCATTTTGTCGAATCGTATCTGAGGGCAACTGCTCGGAAATCTCATGGTATTTCCTTGTGTTTCATTTAAAAAAATAATTAAGCTACCACGTAGGTGAAAGATTTTAATTTTTTTCGTGTACCGCCGCGGTTATCCTCGATAATCCCGACAGTAACCTCAGTTTTTTGACAGGAAGCTAGAAATGACCTAACATTAGGCAAGAGTATCCTGGCGGCTGCGCGTACTTTGAGTTCCACCCGAGAGGTTTAGTATTCTCAAAGATACTCTGATTCGATATAAACTCACGTTAAAATTTTGAGCTCGAAATGGCTCACTTACTGATCGTGGTTCGAACCTGACCTCTGTAGCTCAACTTCTCCTGTCTAGGATCGAGCGACTTGACTCAGTTATTGTGCTTCCTCCGGGAGGCACCTAAAGGGACCTACAGCTGGACCATTTTTTTAAAAAAATTTCGACGAGTTATCATCTAGAGAATGCTAGGAAGTTCAGTCATGAAAGGTGAACACGATAACCTATGGCGTAAAGAAATACTAACATGTTTAAAATATTTCATGTGTCGGAATGGAATCGCCTACTTTTTAGAAGACCTGTACAGTCTGATTCGATTGTTCATAAAAGAATATTTTGCTGAAAGAAATTGGAAATTCCAGCCACGCGGATTAACCTCATTCGTCAAAGAAGTAACTGTGTCGTCGTGCCGTTGACTACCAACCGTTGCTTTTCGCGCTCTCCAGTTCTAGCCAGCCTTCTTTCCTTTGATACTGGCGTTTTTTGTGACCAATCACTTTTTCCGATACACTGCTCTTTCCGCTAATGAAGACCTCCGTTTAGCAACTCCCTCTCTAGTGCGAGCCGTGTATGCCGTGTATGTATGTAGGCTGTTCATAACTGCATAGAACGACCACCTTACTAATATCAGTGAATTCTCTCGATCGTGTTGGGATGGTCAGAGAGCGCTAGCATTCTACCACCTTTTCCGTTTATTTATAATTGTTCAAAGGTTCACGAATATGCCTTCTTCTTGTTGTTTGGTTTCCGTTTAGCGCAAAGCCGATTCCCCACACGGAGTTCGGAAACAAACGAGGCAAGTGTTTCGGAGACCCAACGCTCCGCCTCCACCAAGCCGTCGTTCACAAAACCGCACCTACAATCCCAAGCGTTGGGACCCCTCAAAATGGACACACTATAGTCTAGCAGATGTAGATGAAGACGGATCGGTGGAGAATGCGTCTGGGGATCCAAACTTTGCAATTGCATCCGCATTCCTGGCTGAACTGAGGGATCGTAATGCCGACCAGGAAATCGCTGAACTCCCAAATGACCCTCGACACCATCGTATACTGTTTCGTCCTACCCGTGGGACTAAACGCCAGCGATGTGAAGCTGATAAGGATGTTAGCAGCAGTGGCCCAACACCCATTGCAGAACAGGAATGTAAAGATGAAGACAGCGTTGCTTCCGATGTTGACCGACTTGATCCCGCACCTGGTGCTCAGACTTCCTCGAATGCTGTCTTCTTTCAACGCCGGCGACAACGCCAGCTTCGCTCCCGTACTCCCGAAAACCCAGACAGTCCTCCAAGTTCCTGGGATGTTCAATTGTTGACGGAAGAATCATCCAGTCCACACCAATCCAGTTCATCCGAAGAAGATATTGAGCACGATGGTGTGATGGACCACCACCTTGCCTAGCAACAACGCTGTCTTATTTCTTACAACATGCTTTAAACATGTTTATACGCCATGATTTTTATTCTGCTTTCGTGGCACTGTGCATTCAACTCTCAAATACACAGTAAAACACCTTAAAAAATTAAACAAGGAGTCGCAAATGTCATTAATAGTGGATCCCAGTTCCAGAGGCTTTTTCTAGTAATCCGTCTTGCGCAACACAGGACACAACCCGGGTTTCCAGGACATCTTTTGGATAGGTCTAGGTTGAAAATTTTCAGTGAATCTTTCGTCTTGTAACCGAGGCTAATCTGTGCTGAAAAGCCGAGAAGCACTGTACATCTGTTTCATCCTTTTTCGGAAATCTTGAACAGTGCGAATCCCACTAAACTCCGGGAAACTGTGGAAACATCACAAACGAGAGATTCAGCTGGGTTGCAGTGGAGTCTCTCGAAAAACCAAATTAGTTTGCAAATGAGTATATATTCGCCAATTTCGTGCAATTTGGTTCCGAGTAGAACATATGGTTGACGGAAACTCGGGGACTACCTGATGAGCCCCAAGAGGGCGAAACTGGTCGTGCACTGTCGATGAATTTTCAGCAGCCTTATGAGTAGTACATTACAAATAAACTTCGGATAGTTCTGATCCGGACTGATAGTTTTTAGCGCTTGACCGTTCGGCCACGAGCAACTGATCAGCAGTGTGATTGATTCGTACAAGATTTAGTCCAACGATGGATTGGCTGTGTTAAGGTGCACAGACAATCGCCAACTCACTTGTCCCTCTCAGTCCGCATGGTGCCTACAGGAACGAAGTGTGTAGAGTAGATAGCTTACAATTGGAGCGATCTCGATGACATTTTGTTTGCATAGTCAGGAGTCATCAGTATTGAGTATTGATTTGATGCCTGATGCCCAGACTAGCTCTGGGCCGTTGAGCTCTGAATGACGGGAAGACATCACGGATGCATCGGGTGTCCATCGGGAAAAGAACTCTGGCACGAGTACTGATTATTGTACACAAACTTCGCACTACTCATAAGTTTTGAGTAGTAAACTATTGCTTGACTGCATAGTTTCACGTCCACGGACAAAAACCGAAATCGCGGGAAAATGGTGATGTGCACAAATTCTCTGATAGTTTATGGAGACAGGTCGCCCAGATAGCAAAAATATAGTGAAGCTTCCAACTTGATCGTGTATTTCGGCCGTTCGTTCATATTTTTTGTAGGATGCTGGTAGTGCGCAAACATAAGGGGGTGTTATTCCGAAAACCACTTTCAATGTATAGACAGTGCCGCGGATATTCCTGAGCACTCATGCCTGTCTCACATTGGCACTCCAAAAACCGAGTTTCCTGAACTCCAAGCCCACTAAAGTTTTATTGATCGGCTAATCATCTGTATATCATTCAATGGCGCTTACTTTATTCGGGGTTGAATTTCTCAGGGAGGCATGGTTTAGCCTCAGGTATGTCTTGATTGCTAAAGTTTTATTGATCGGCTAATCACCTGCATATCATTCAATGGCGCTTACTTTATTCAGGGTTGATATTTCTCAGGGAAGCATGGTTTAGCCTCAGGTATGTCTTGATTCGCTGGTAACCACGACTTAAGATAAGCACCAAGGTCCGAGGGTCGCGTCATTCAGTTGTTGCCCGATTGCTTCGCTCATCAGATGACACGAGGATCAAGAATTTCGCCATCAACCCTGTCTCTGGAGAAGCAAGGTCCCTCTGCTGCCATGGCATTCGCGGGATGGGTAGTTCGGATTCTCACCTGCGGAACGTCTGTCCGAACAACTATGGTCAGTACTGGAAGGGCAATAGATACTGTGATAGCGTTGCCTTACAGGACCGTCAAATACTGTGTCGCCAGAGCGTGTTTTTAGTTGTACTAGCTAGAGCGATGGATTACTCATTTTGTTATTGTCTCTGAACACTAAAAACCAGCCATTCGCTTCTCAAGTGACTCTAATAAAGTTCAAAGCAAAACTGTGTTTGACTGGCATAGACGCCGTGGACACAGCAAGAGCGATTAGTTATGTAGGTTGCTATGACCGCTCGGTAACAAAATGTAATGGGAGGTCAATATTCCAGACAGAGGTGCGTTACTGTTATTTTCACCGAGATGAAATGCACAATAATTTCCAGCTTACTCGGTCCACGGGATCCAAACACCTGTTTGGGTCGTGCAGTTGGATAGGCGAGCAAAAATACAATGAAACCTATTGAAACTCTGCCATCTGTGGGTCCCATCGAAGTTCCCAAATGAGACGTGCTTCTAAAGGAAACTACTCACATGGTTGCTGAAAACTATTCACTAGATCCTGTGAACCAAATCGATTTGCAAATGAGTGTATTTCTCGGGGACATGCTTCTAGTTCATAGATGATCGCTCTATGTCAAATAAATGTTGTATCATGGGTGGACGTCTGTTTGTTGCACCTGAACTGAGCCTGCCGGGCTATGCGATAAGGAGAAGACAGAGAACCCCGAACACGGCTGTATTGGCAGGAGAAACATACAGAGCTTCCGGGTAATTGTATGGGATGACTAGGTGGCCAAAAATGGTCGTTCACTCATTGGTTCTGTGCAGTCAGTGGCGGCGTTCCGGTCGTGAACGATTTCAGCCCTACTCCACTGCCCTTATGTTGCTAAGCCGCCAATGCAACTGCTCTCCGGAACGTGTGGGACCTTGGGGACGCTCCGTTCTCTGCACGTATGGTTTTTCATGTCTGAACTTGTCCTAACAGCATCCCATCATTCATAACTTTCTCGAACAGTAAGAGGAGGACGGAGCGTAAGATTGGGTCACTATTCTCCGCATGAACTGGTGGCGCGTTTCTTTTCGAGTCATCCAAACTTCGGCCGTTTACTGATGCGAGTTCAGTAGCAGTTTCCTGTGGACGAAATTAAAAATGGGTGATTTTAAGCAATATCCAGATGAACTGATAGGAGACATAAGGTTGTCGCAAACTCGGGGACTGTGCCTACCTGATGAGCCCCAAGAGGGGCGGAGTCGGTTGTGGACTGTCGAAGAGTCTTCAGCAACCTTGTGAGTAGTTTCCTTTATGAAAATATACTGCGGTATCTCGAATATCGTGCTAACTGAGACATGAGGCGGCCTGTGTACAGCACATTCAGTTGTAGAACATTATAAACGAGAGATTCCGTTGAGTATCTCGTGGAAACCCAATTGATTCGTAAATGAGTGTATTTCTCGAAAACTGCATTTTGGGTTCAAGTAGAACATAAGGTTGACGGAAACTCGGGGACTGCGCCTACTTGATGAGCCC